TTATGAATCGCTAATATCAGGGCAATGTGCATAAAAATCAGAATATCCCTTATAATTACCAAACATTTGATAAATGGTGAAGTATACAGACTCTTTTATTTGTCTTACACATGTTGAACTCCTAATTGTTTTGTTAAAAGCACATGAGGCCAAGAAATGTGGTACCCATGGTTTTATATCAAAGGAACAGAATTTTCCGCATTGCTGAATATGTTGCAATTTTCTGAAAATATGGACTTGGCTTCAACGTACATGAAACCTTTGGTGATGTCAACACAGGCTCCTTAATTTTAGACTTTGAGAAAACTCTGACACAGGGTTGGGAAAAGGTGTTAGTGTAGACCTCTCAAACACAAGAGAGTTTATTGAGAATAAATGAAAGTCTGGATTCACCTGGATTCTTAACTTGAGCTCTTGTAACAAAGAATCTTCAGGAAAAATTTTCTGTGCAGAGCAATGTCCCATAGGGTTTGGAATGACAAGAGGGAGGGACTTATGCCTAAGGGAGAATCTATTGGGAGATATGAATACCTCCTCCTTTACTGTCTTTCAGAATGTGCAACACTGAGCTGGACAAGGTGTTTTTCAAAATATTTTGTCCCTGGTTTGGGGACTGATGCTTCATTTTTGTCTGCTACTTTGTCTGGGGGAGCTTGTCTCCATCATGTCTCCAGCCTGTGTTTGGGGTGCCTACACAGAGACTTTCCTTTAAAAAGATCCCATCCAGGTGAGCCCAAGAGTTCAGGAAAGGTCCAGAGAGAATGGAAACTGAGAAAGTTTGCTTGAGGAGCTTGCTTGCATTTGCTCACCTAAGAGCAAATACAGCTTAGGTCAGAGTGAAGAGAATGTAGCGGATGCTTCCTGCACATTTAATTTATGTATTTATGTATGTTGTTAAATAGAGAAATATCCATTGTACTCGTCAATGCAAGGGTGGTCATTGACAGTTAAGCAATAACAAAAGAAGCTTAATTAGAAGAGGAAATGATAGGAATTAAGTGATTCCAGTTAAGTTTGAACATATGTCCAAGAATCTCTGCAAGTCCTGGGAAGTATAGCCATAGAATATCAGCTGTGAAGGAATATACACTGAAGTGGGGATATATCTTCCCTCACTTTTATGATGTGACACTTTAGAGTGTGTTTCCTCATTGATAAGAGAGTTCTGAACCAGAGTATTACTTGAAAATCCTACATTGCAATATCAGTATATGAGGTACAGTATAATTTGTAGTTACTTTCCCTCATGTGAGAGGGTCAAATGAAAAAACTGTAAGAGATGATAAAGGATATTACAGTAATAAATTTTGCTTGCAATTATTTTCTTACTGGTGAATCTGAAAGTGTTTGTGGATTTGTTAGCAATTTAGTTTATTGCAAATTGCCTATGCAAATTCTTTGCATTTATAAAACATGGTTAGAGTGTTGTTTTTTATTTTTAAATTTTATTTTAAAGAGAATTTAAAAAAACAAAATAACAACACAGACAAAAGCAAAACAAAGCAAACACAATGAAAATGATGCAGGGTTTCAAAACAAAATGATAGGAATTATCAGTGATTGTTATATTATATATTGTTATCTTCAATGAAGTTACTTAGATTGCCAGATATAACAATGCCAGATTGATCAAATTATTAAAGAGAATAAAAATAATAAAAAACATTAGCAACAATACAGAGCTTCACTAAACAAAAGGGAAAAGAGAAATAGAGTGTTATTTTCAACTACACTTGTATCATTATTTTCAGTTGTTACTCAGAATACAAGACATAAACAAAAGAGATTATTACAAAAAAGAAACAGCTAATAACACAATTGCATTTTTCTTCAAATATAAGAATTGGAGTTTTTAACCACCTTTGCTATTTGCCGTTTAGTTTTAAAAACTTATATATAAGTATGCTGGGGGAATACATATATTATATATATATTTGATACTTTCTGATCTCCTTCAAGTCACATTACTTTTGGTCATCTTTTAAAAGGCATTATGTTCATTTGACTAAAGATTGCCTTTTATTTTTAAAATGTATTAAATACATACATATTTATAGAGAATTTATTTATTTATTTTTGTGGTACTGGAGATTGAACCAGGGCCCTATGTACGCCTTGTGTACCCAAGATTTATATCCCTGTCTAAAATGATGTACTTAGATACTTTTAACTCAATTATGTTATCTCTTACAGATATTTGTAAATTTAGCTGTTAATCCACACTGAAGTCATTAAATTATTGCTACTTCATATCCTATTTCAGTTCATCAGTGCTATATTTGGATTTTTTAGTAGTGATGTTTTTACACCATTCTATTCAACCTGGTTTTAGTTTCCTCCCCTGCTACACTTTTTATCTCAAACTTCTCATTTTCTTTAAATTTGTTTCTATGTAAAGCACTTGTATTCACACACATTTTTGAAAATACAAAACTGAACAAGGAAGGTGAAACTTGCTCATCTCAATCTTGAATTATAAGGGTAGTGTATGATGAAATAAGTGGGTATGTTTGACCTAATATCCTTTGGGATTAATTATATGAAGGATATTTTCAGGGTAAAAGAACATACGTCTCATGATGTTATTGCATAAAATTTATAACACTGGGGAAACCTTTGCAAATTGAGAACCATCAAAATGGAGACTTGAATATAGCACATCTATTGTGATTTGTGTGTGTGAGAGAGACAGAGACAGAGAGACATAGAAACAGATAAGCAGAGAGACAGAGAAATCAAAACCCAAAGCCTCAGAATAACAAAGAACAAATGCCAGAAGAAAAAAAAATCACAGAGGGATTTCTTGATCTACAATAAGACTGTATAAAAACCTGTACTCCAGACAAATATCGAATAGATACATAAGAAGCAGCTCTTTCTTTGTTTCCTATAAAGTACCTAAATTCAGTAGTTCTTTGTACATTTTCTCTTTTGAATTGTTGACTTATTCTTTTTGCTCATTTTTTATAGGGATGTTCACTCTGTAGATGCTTTGACACTAAAAAGATAGTACAAGTTTTGTCTTTTGGAAACATTTATATCTGTCATTTATTGCTTTTTTGGGTTTTAAGTGGGGTTGGAATGTTGCTATAACTAAGAAAGCTGTTTCTTACAGTCTCTCAGGAATCATCTGAGCTCATTAGACCTTTTTTTTTTTTTTTTTTAAATCCCTAAGGTTCATTTAATTCTGTTTGCTCTATTTATCGAGCAGATATCTTATGGTTCAAAAATTTTTCTTTAGATGGAGGGCAGTTCACAGCCTTACCAAAATGGAAATATAATCTGATGTTGACAGTTTGCTTTGTATCCCTCCTTCTCTAATAGTGTGCATGAGTATGAGAAAATCACGTTATTTACATGGCCCCAGGAGTCCTCACTGTGTTACCTGTATCTGAGCTCTGATGTGCTTGGTGTGTGTTTGTGTGTGTGTGTGTACAAATAACTTAGGTATGAGTGCAGGCTTCAAAGTAGGGGGACCTACGGTCAACCTATCACAAAAGATGGCCATAATATGGAAGCCAGAAGTCACAGCAATATAGGGAAATAAATAAGGGCTGATGTCATTTCATGGGAGTATTTTGGAGTCAGTTTATTAAAACAAAAACTACACAGGCTAGAAGAGAGACTCCTTTTGTCTTGAAGTTTCAGCAGCAATAATGCTACATACTTTTGTGGGGTGCCAGGAATCAAAACCAGGAACTAGATATAGCAGTTGAACATCTTGTGCACTCCAATAAATGCTGTATCACAGAGGTATACATGCACCCTTTTTTGGAGATGAGGTCTCACTATGTTGCAAGAGCTGGTCTCTAACCCCTGGGGTCAAGTGATATTTCCACTTCTGCCTCTAAAGTAGGAGCAGATGCCTCTGCACACAGCTCAGTCATTATTCTCTGTCACTCCTGCCCCTTTTCACTCCTCTGGCCACATAGGCTCCTTTGCTAGTGCTGAACTACTGAGAGAAGAATCTTCTCCAGGGCCATTGAATCTGCTGTTCCTTCTGTGAGCCACACACAGTCCCAGATGCCCTCTGGATCCTGATCTGTCTTCCTTGGGGTTTCTGTGCACGCATCACATTGTGCAGGTCTTCTGTGAATAACCAGCAAGAACAGCACCCATCAAATTTCTCTTTTTTACTTTTTTCAAAACATTTTCTATAATTGGGGTTTGAAGTGTCCTATAACTGAACATTTGTTCAAAGTGTGGTCCTCAGGGAAGAGCTACTGGGAGGTGGTAGAGTGATTAAAAGATAGAGCTTAGAGGGAGATCTTTAGGTCATTGGGGGCATATGCTTGAAGGAGATTTGGGACCTCCAGCCCTCTCTTCATTTCTTTTGCTTCTGAATCATGATGAGGAATGGGTTTGCTCTGCCATGCATTCCTATCATAATATGTCACTTTACATCACTCCCAGTGTTGTGGGGCGGACCCACCATGGGATTTCAAATACTGAGCCAGCACAATCTTCTTTCTTGACAAGTTGACTATTCCAGAGACATGTTATAGTGATGGAAAGCTGATTAACACAGCATTTGCCATCATCTGACAAAATGTATGATTTTAAAAAATTGTTTGTATTCCTTGTCCATCATTTTACTGTAGAGATTTTGTTTTGTTTCACTGCTTATTAATTGTCTACCCAGTGCCTGGGATATGGGCCATTTTCAATTTATATTCCTCAAATTCATAAAACCTTTTCATTAAATTTTGGAATATATGACCTTTGTAAGCACGAAGCAGGACTTCTTACTCAGATATTATATGGTACAAAGAACCTCCTACAGGGAAAAGATCCATACAAAAACATAGAGATTGTTTTTCTCACTAGACAATTTGGAATTGAAGCATAACTCAGTAGCAGAGCACATAACTAGCATGTGAGAGACTCTGCGTTTGACCCACATTAGTGCAAAATAGTTAATATTTATGACAGGTGAGTAATAAATTCTTTGGTCATGTTCTTTATCTGTCTCCTTTGTTTTTGGAAGTCATATACAAAGCATGGATCCAGGGAATGCTACAAGACTCTCAGGATTTCTTCTTCTGGGATTTTCAGAGCAGCCAGAACTACAACCTCTCATGTTTGGACTTTTCCTCTCCATGTACCTGATCACCATGCTTGGGAACCTGCTCATCATCCTAGCCATCATCTCAGACTCCCACCTGCACACACCTATGTACTTCTTCCTCTCCAACCTGTCCTTTGTGGACATCTGTTTCACCTCCACCACTGTGCCCAAGATGCTGGTGAATATACACACACAGACCAGGGCCATTACCTATGCAGGCTGCATCACTCAGATGTACTTTTTATTACTTTTTTCAGGGTTGGATATCTTTCTGCTGACTGTGATGGCCTATGACCGATATGTGGCTATCTGTTACCCTCTGCACTACGCGGTCATGATGAACCACTGGCTTTGTGGGTTATTGGTTCTGGCATGCTGGATTGTAGGTGTCCTGAATTCCTTGTTACATACCTTCATGGCACTGCGTCTGTCCTTCTGTAATGACTTGGAAATACCACACTTTTTCTGTGAACTGAATCAGGTAGTCCACTGTGCCTGTTCTGACACCTTCCTTAATGATATGGTGATATATATTACAGCTATGCTGTTGGCTATTGGTCCTCTAGCTGGCATCCTTTACTCTTACTCTAAGATAGTTTCCTCCATACATGCAATTTCATCAGCTCAGGGGAAGTATAAAGCATTTTCCACCTGTGCATCTCACCTCTCAGTGGTCTCCTTATTTTATTGTACACTCCTGGGAGTGTACCTTAGTTCTGCTGTCACCCAAAACTCACACTCAACTGCAACAGCCTCACTGATGTACACTGTGGTCACACCCATGCTGAACCCCTTCATCTACAGTTTGAGGAATAAAGACATCAAGAGTGCTCTGAGAAGACTGCTTGGGAGGGTAATGAGAAGAGTTCCAGTTGATCCACCTCAGTAGAAATGCTTATGATTTCTGGGCCAAAATTTTGGAGTCAAAATTTTGATTCTTTGATCAGGTTGTATGACTAAAAGTTGTTCCCTTTATTTCCTATAATTTCCATTTTTGGGGGGTGTAAATCTAGAACAGTTTAACTCACTTTACTAGGTTTTTTCCCTCTTTCTAGTGTGTACCAATTTGTTTTCATTTGTCACTTCCTACTCTCCCAAACTTGTTCCCGTTCTTGGATCAGAAGTGTTTGGAAATTCTCATTTCTACCATGGAATAAAGCAGATTCCTTACAAATAATTACTATTAAAGAACATATCATATTGACTTATTTTCTTCTGTTTGCTAAAGAAAAAGTCAAGGGTTTTACTATTCCTATAGGAAAATTGTACTTGGCAACTGAAGACATCTACAAATTTGTACATAGTTGAACTCAGTATGAACTTAGAGTCAGAAAATGACTTTCAAAATGACAAAGAAAAATTTAAAGTAGGTAAATACATTGATATGGAAAGCTATTTTGTTTCAATATTCTGTCTCTACCCATTGTCATGTGAAGAGTTGTCCATATAAAGAGAATTTACTAATTTGATTTCTGAATTGGTTGATGTACTTTCTTGTTTCATTGAGTTACCTCCTGTTGGTGCTCAGAATGTCTGGTTTTGTATATAAATATTATCCCTTCCATTAATCTAAGTGAAAAGTCTCATCAGTATCATCCTTCATATATATCCTTTTAGTATCCTTACCAGTGCTGGGGATCAAACCCAGAGCTTCATCTATCTAGCAAGTACCCTACCACTGAGAGAAATCCCCAGCCCTATACATATCCTGTATCCTCAGGAATTGCTTCAATCTTTATTATCTATTTCTAGCTCAGAAGGGAGCATGACTTCCTGCGCAGCTATGTGATTCAGAGCCAACAGCTTCCTGTGCACACATGCATGTCCTTCCAATATCACTTGTATGGAATCTCACTGCAGTCAGTTTGCAAGAGTTATGTGAAATAAGCTTGAAGAACAGAGTAATTATGAATGCTATCATGAAATATCCAAATAAATGTCAAGATTAAGTAGCATATTATTTTAATTGCCCTCAGTTCTTTTTTCTTTTGATTATTGTATCAGTTAGATATTGCTGCGTATGAAGCAATCCTAAAATCAAATGATTCATTATGACACCATTCTCATCAAATGCAAATGTACAACTGGGGGTTCTTCTGAGCACTACTGGTCACCTCTAAATTCACCTATGAGTTTCTACTTTGTGTTTCTAAGGCTTGTTCATGACAATGCAGGCAAATGTAGTATTTCCTATCTGGAAATGATTTAGGGCCAGCTTACTCCATTTCTACATTGAGATTAACTTTCTGGATTACACTAAAAAAGAATTTGTTAATATTAATTACCTTTCTTTAATTCCACTATTCCTAAAATCATGTTTGACCCTTTTGTTTTCTTCCCATTTTGATCAGGATTGCATTAAATCTGAATAACAGTTTTAGGAGAATGGCCATTTTCACTATGTTGGTTCTTTCTATACATGTGCAAGTGATATTTCCATTTTCTTTTTAAATTTTTACTTATTTTTTTATTTTAAAAAATAAAAGAATGAAAGCATATTAACAAACACATATATTTACAAAATAACACAAGAACAATACAAGCAATACTGAAATTCAGACAAGGTGATAGGAAATTAAGAATGGTTGTTGCATTACATATTCATATCTTCAAAGTGGTTACTCAGGAAAACAAATATAGATGGGTAAGATTGATCAAATAATCATTAACGTTTCTTTCAATAAAGTGATAGAAGTCAGTAGTACAACTATGTTAGCTATCCTCTCTCTCTCTCTCTATATATATATATACGTATATATTATTTTCCCCCTTTTTTCTTTTTCTCTTTTCCCTCATTCAAGCTGCTCTTTACTTTTGAGCAGTTTCCTTTCATTTCATAATATCTATCATACCTCCTAATTTTGTTTACACTTATAGCTTCTTACACTAGTGAGACAATATGTTGTTTTCACACGCAGGTCTGATTTATTTCACTTATAAGTATGGTCTCTAGTTGTGACCATTTACCTATAAAAGCCATGAGTTTATCTTTCTTTATAGCTGAGTAATGTTCCATTATATAAAACTACCACAACTGTTTTATCCATTCCTCAGTGGATGAACATTTGGGTTACTTCCACGATTTAGCTGTTGCAAATTGCGCTGCTACAAACGTGGGTGTGCATAGTTCGCTGTGATATGATGTTTTCAGTTCTTCTGGGAAAATACCCAGAAGGGGAATAGCTGGGTTGAGTGTGATCTCTAGACTTATTTTGCTGAGAAATCTCCAAACTGATTTCCACAGTGGTGGAAATCACCAGTCTGCATTTCCACCAGCAGTGGAGAAGAGTTCCTATTTCTTCACAGCCTTACCAGAATTTGTTATTGGTTGATTTCTTAATGTTAGCCACTCTTACTGGGGTGAAATGAAATCTCAATGTTGTTTTATTTTGCATTTCTCAAATGACTAATGATGTTGAACATTTTCTCATGTATTTATTTGCCACTTGTATTTCTTTGTCTGAGAAGTGTGTATTCATCTCTGATGCCCATTTCTGGATTGGTTCTTTGAATGTGGGAGGGCTGATGTTTTTAAATTCTTTACATGTTCTAGATAGAAGTCCTTTGTCCGAGGGACAGTCAGCTAAATTTATTTCCCAATTTGTGGATTTTCTTTTTACCCTGCTGGTGATTTCTTTAGATGTGCAAAAACTTTTCAGTAAGATGAGATCTCAGTTGTTGATTCCTTGAAGTATTTCCTGTGCAGTTTGGTTTTTGTTCATGAACTCTGCCTATTCCTATGTCTTCAAGATTTTTACCTGCTTTCTGTTCCAGTAGATTTAGTGTTTCTGTTTTAATATTTAGATCTGCAATCCATTTTGACTTGAGTTTGGAGCATGGTGATAGATACGGGTCTGATTTCAGTCTTTGGCATGCAGTGAGCCAGTTTTCCCAGCCCCAATTATTTAATAGACTATCTTTCTTCCAGCGAACTTGTTTGGCCCCTTTATCAGAGGTAATGTGCTGATTGTGTTTGCGATTGTGGTTGCATCTTCCAGTCTTTGCCACTGATCCTCAGGTCTGATTTTTTTTTGCCAGTATCATAATGATTTTGTCAAAGTAGCTTTGAAGTATAATTTCAGGTCAGTGAGTGTGATGCCACCTGCCTTGTGTTTGTTGCCCAGGATTACTTTTGCTATTCTGGGTCTCTTCTGGTTCCAGATTAATTTTAGGAATGTTTTCTCTAGATCTGTGAGGTATGCTAATGGTATTTTGATTGGGATTGCATTGAATCTGTACAACAATTTTGGTAGTATGGCCATTTTCACAATGTTCGTTCTTCCTATCCATGAGCATGGAATATCTTTCCATTTTCTTTTCTTTTGTTTTTTTGTTTTTCTTCTAGTACCAGGAATCGAACTTATGACCTTGAGCTTGCCAGGCAGGCCCTTTGCCACTGAGCGAAATCCCCAGCCCATATCTTTCCATTTTTTGAAATCCTCTTCAATCTCTTTTTTCAGAGTACTGTAGTTTTCACTGTATAGATCTTTTACTTCTCATTTTAGGTTGATTCCTAAGTATTTTAATTTTTTGGATGCTACTGTAAAAGGTAAGGTTTCCTTAATTTCTCTCTCAGTCTGTTTTTTGTTGTGTATAGGAATGCTATTTATTTTTGAGTGTTGACTTTGTACCCAGCTATGCTACTGAATTTGTTCATTAATTCCAGGAGTCTTCTGGTGGAATTTTTGGGGTCTTGCGTGTAGAATATCATGTCATCCGTGAATAATGATAACTTCACTGCTTCCTTTCCTATTCTTATTCTTTTTATATCTCTCTCTTGTCTAATTGCTCTGGCTAGTGTTTCCAGAACTAGTTTGAATAGAAGTGGTGACAGTGAACATCCTTATCTCATTCCTGATTTTAAAGTTAAAGCTTTTAGTTTTTGTCCATTTAGTACAATGTTGTTCATTTGTCATAGATGTTTTTGATCAGATTGAAGTAAAGACCATATATTTTTATTTTCTGTAGGGTTTTTATCATGAATGCATGTTGGACTTTGTCAAAAGCTTTTTCTGCATCTATTGAGATGATTATGTGATTTTTGTCTTTGGCTCTGTTGATATGGTGTATTACATTGATTGATTTGTTCATATTGTACCATCCCTGCATCCTTGGGATGAATCCCACTTGGTCATGGTGTATTACCCTCTTGATGATTTGCTGAATTCTGTTTGTTAGTATTTTATTGAGTATCTTTGCATATACATTCATTAGGAAGATTGGTCTACAGTTCTTTTTTGTTTTGGTTGGGTCTTTCCCTGGTTTTGGTATCTGTATCTTACTTGCCTCCAAAAATGAATTAGGGAGAATTGCTTCCTTTTCAATTTCATTAAAGATTTTGAGGAGTGTTGGCATTAAACCTCTGAATGTCTTGTAGAATTCAGCTGTGAATCCATCAGGACCTGGGCTTTTCTTTGTTGGCAGTTTTTAAATCATGTTTCCAATTTCCATAATTGATATTGGGTTATTCAAGTTTTATATCTTCTTGATTCATCTTTGGTAATTCATACTTATCTAGGAATCTGTCCATTTCTTTTGTATTTTCCATCCTATGGGAGTAAAGATTTTCAAAGTAGGGACTTGTTATGGTTATGTCTGTGTGTCCCCCCAAAGCCTCCTGCAGCCCTGGGGCAGGTAAGCGAAATAAACCTTTCCTTCCTTAATTTTGGCCGTCAGGTATTTTGTCCCAGAAGCAAGAAAAAAGTAACCAGGACAGAATTTGGTACCGAGAGTGGGGTCGTTGCTGTGACTATATCTGACCAGGTGGTTCAAGAGCCTTTGGAAATGGCTTGTGGGGAGTATTTGGAAAGGTTTGGAGATGTCGCCTGAAAGAGAAGCACTAGAACGCCTTTGGCTGTTCTGTTTGGGAGATTCTGGTCAGAGCTCAGA